AACAACGTCCTTCGGGAAGACGTCACCGGGCGCCATACGCTCGGATTTCCAGCGGAACAACGCGGCGATGCAAGCGATGCAAGCGATGCGAAGTGCCACTTAATTTCGTTAAAATGCAACGAAACGAATCACACATTGTGAAGCTATTAATTACCTTTTTATAATTTCACGTCGATAAATTGGATTTTGAACCTTTAAAAAAATGTAAAATTCATTCATCTATTTCTTCATACACAGAATTTTAAACGGAATTTTAAAATGCCATAGGCGACGCAGCTGTGAATTTCGGGAGGACCCGGGGGGATCCAAAAATTCGTTTGCATCGTGAGTCACCGGTTTCGGAAGGAATTCGTTCGTCCCGGCACTGGAGCCTCGCGAGAGTATCGATGTTTGCGCATGGAAATACCGCGGCAGTGATTCACGGTTCCGACTCTGCTCGATCCCATAGATCTTCGCGCAAAGTTTGGAACACGTTCCTCCGAGACGCGGGAAGCGTCCGTCGTCCCCCGTCGACGATAACTGTACCCTGAGTCACCGCGAGGCGAAACGGATGAACGGAAAGTAAACCTCTCTCGAGCGCGCGCGCGCGATCTTGACCTTCGCGGTGATCTACGTCGAACGCGCGTGATCGCGTTAACGATCCAGATGGGGGCAACTAAATGTTCCCTTTGTTCCAGGCGGGTCCGGGGCGAGAAGGCGCCGCTTTACTTCGCCGATCGCGCGGCGAAGCTGGATAAACGTCTAGCGGCTTCCTCTCCGCGGTTCTCCCTCGGCTACGCGTTCGCGGCTCGCGAAAGGCAAAAGTAAATCGACGTGAAATGCCAAGACCGTGACGAACGCGGGAGACGTTCGAGGAGCCGAGACTCGAGAGGGCAAACGTTGCGGGCAATAAAGTGCCGGCACACGGACCGGGGCCCGGTATCGAACGTTCGCGCAGGCAGAATCGCTTAATTGGTAGAAAAGGAACGGGCGAGCGCGCGCGAAACGTTTGCTCCAGTTTATTTACATTCGCGAATAACGACCTATACGCCGATATAGCCATAATATTTACACCGGGACCCCTTTCCAGCGAACGTTTATGGCGTCGGTACGTCGATTCGCGGCTCTCGATTCCCGTTTCCACTTATCTACGGTTCGCCGAACAAAAGATCGGTCTCTGGAAAGTGAGCGATACACACTCGATAGACGAATGCTGCGCCAGTTGCATGCATGCAACTGCGCCGGTGCAGTCGGCTCGCGCGACATCGACCACGGGACGCGACGCGACGCTATGCGATGCGACGCTTGCTTTGCATTTAATTCGTTACGAATGGTTACGCAATTAAGACATTTCCAAGGAATCGCGACGTCGGTTGTTTGAATTCCAGCGTGCCGTAACAGCCGCCGTTGGGCAAACAATCTGAACAAAAAAGCGTTCCCTTGGACCGCGAATCCGATTAACACGAAGTAATTGTTATTGTTTATTAGCGGACGGACTGGAAGCCCCTTGTGTACATAACAGTTTAACGCGTCGACTGACAACGACGCCAAAAATGTCGCGACGTCGAAGTATTTTATTCGAGCGAATTAAGCGAGCTTAAGTACGTTGAGTTAGACGACGGCTGTTATTTTTTCGACGTACGTGCGTTTCGTGATAATTGTATTTATTTGTTTTATTATGTTTATTATATATTTCTACGTTTTTTTCGTATATAATTGACTCGCGTACTAATTAACTTTCCAATCCGAGCAAATCGTTTCGTCGCTCTCGAAATGATTGTTATTAACACTTTGACGACTACGCCAAGAACCTCAAAAATTTCATAAAATTAAAGTACTTTATTCTATATTGTACTTATTGTATATATATATATAAAAAGTACTTAATTAAATTTAAATTGCAGAGCAAAGTTGTGCGACATCGATTACTGTTTCAACGATCTTACCACTTGCGAATGCTAATAAAATTAAGAGATTCTATTGGATCAGCGTAAAAATTAATTTTAGAAAATGAGATTTTAAGTAATTCTGTCACGCACATATGTGTGATGCAACGGTCAAAGTGTTAGCAGTAAAAAAAGAAGGTAACACGTAGAGGAAAGCGAAATAAAAATCATGCGAAAGAAAATATTGTCGCTTACGAAAGGTAGTAAAACGATTGTTGTACAATATGCAACGATAATTTTAGGCTTCCTAGCGGGTGTTTTTTCACGTGTACAGAGTGGCGAGCACGATTAATTATTCTATTAATACAATTTTCAGATTCATACGTTGTGCGATTCTTTAAATGTTTGATGCTGCATGCAAGGCGGACAATTACTGGAGATAAAATGTGACCTCCGATTACTTCAGCTACAAACAAAATGTCGATAATTGTCTTCTACATTATTTTCTAGAATGTACGATTGTTGTACAATTTTTAATATTTTTGGTGCGCCAGAGTATTCAGAACCCGTGTATATAAATAAATACTAAGCTCTATATTTACATAGATATTACATAGATACGAATATAAATAATATTTATAATTTATTATTTGTTAATTTACATATAGATAATATTACAATATTATATTATATTATATAAATAATATTATAATATTATATTATATAGAGATAATGTTATAATATTATATTATATATAAATAATATTATAATATTATATTATATAGAGATAATGTTATAATATTATATTATATAGAGATAATGTTATAATATTATATTATATATATAAATATAAATTCTAAGCTCTATCATGCAGTGTTTGAGAAGCGTATTTTCAAGCGAGTCTCCACAGTCATGCGAGTTAAAAGGCAAACATAAAATAAAGACTTTGTTCTGCGATTTTTCTACGCTCTGGCAACGTACACAAGTCGATCGTATTGAATGTTATCGGTTAATCGTGACAGCATTGACACCTGTCATTTACAGATATAAATCGCCTAACGATTTCCTAACAATTTGTTAATCTCCCCCAACCTCGTTATACGCATATTTTCCTTTTTTTAACCTAGCATCGCGTCCGGCCCGGTACAAATAAAATAAACGAATAAATACAAGCCGAGATGCGTGCGATATCGGCAAAACTCGCTAGCGCGTGCACGCGCGGATCCGACGCGAGAACGGCTGCCCTCCGCCCGAATTAAATTCGGAGCGTGCCGCAGGTGTTTGCCGGCGAGCAGCTGTTATTTAGCATTTGCAGGGAGCGCATAGCGACCGGGGCGGCTGCAGAAATCTTTGCAACGGTGCAACGCGTTCAAAAGGGAGACGCGGCGCGGCCTAACGTGCTTACGTGCTCCGAAACAGAGAGAATGAGTATGTCGTCGTTGCCGCCGGAGAGCCCCGGCGAGCATAATCGCGACGCTGCGATAAATATTAATGTTCCGCGATAATTTACCGTGCGAAAAATCCCGCGTCGCGGCGCAACCGCGCGCGTGTATAGTCGATATCGGTGCAGCGTTTAACGTGCGATCCGCGACGTACACCGCGTACGGTACGTGCAACGACGACAACAAACATCGCAGCCGGTGGCCTATATTATCGCGGCCAGCAACGAGAGTACGCTCGCTGGCCACTTCCAGCGCGCGATTGGCGAACAAAAAGATCGCCGAGGAAAACGGCACTCGGACAAAATGGAGGATGAACGCGCGATTGGCCGTGACCAGAATGCAGCGAGCGACCCGGTGGTGGTGCATCCTCGTCTCGTCTCTTTTCCTTTTCTTTTCTTTTCCTTTTTCTCTCTCTCTCTCTCTCTTCGCGGGGAATTTCCGACGGAAGCGCCTCGGGCGAGCGACTGTTGCTTTCGCGAAGAAATCGGACCGTGAGTCTGCCGCGACCTGTTGCCGCCGCTCCGAAAGGAATTTCGTAAACATCGCGGCGCACGTGCCTTCTTTGTCACGCGATTTCGCAACGTTTGCCGACCTTTCCGAATCGTGTGTGTGTTATGGTTTCGTTTCCTCGCTCGCGCGCGGGGCCACCACCCCTCTCTCTCTCTCGCGAAAGAAAGTAGCGCGCGTTCGCGCGATCGTTTCGGAGCGGCCGATAGATCGGATCGATCCCGCCGCGGCGCAAGATCGCCGATGGATCGGCATCCGCCGCGGATGATTAATATTAGAAGCGAATTAACTGTGTCGCGCGCGACCCGATTCCGCGATTTCTCCTCGACGGTTTCTTACGATCGGCGAGTCATTCGGGACACGCGCCGGGCCATCTTCCTTCCGCGGATGGTCCTCGACCTTGCACGGTTTCGGAGGAGCGTTCCGTGCCGCTCGCAGCCTCCTCTTTTCAGCTCTCTCCGCCGCTCGGCCGGAGGAGCGACGGAATCCACGAGAGCAGGATCGACGGAGACGGGCGAAGACGGTGCTGCGAGGACCGCGGGGGGAGAGAGAGAGGGGGGGAGAGATACGCCGCCGTGTCGGTAGACCGAGGTCGTAAAAGAGTATCGGCGTGCGCGAAGTCTCGACCTCGATCTCTCGCGGTAGGGGCACTTTCTTTCTCCGGCAGGACACAGCCAGGATGCGGACCGGACCGAGAAATTAGGGGTGCCCTGACCACGATATCTTGCACCGGCCGAAGGACCGCTCCTTTTTTCTCTCCACGGTTCGACAGCCGTTTCGAAGAACCGCTTGCACGCCCTGGTCCGCTCCGTTCGAAACGGAAGACCGGGAACGGATCGGATCGGAGCGGAGCGAAAGCAAATAGACGATTTTAATTAGCGCGACGGGAACCGCGTGGCGAATCGGCGACCTCGCGAGGTCGTCGCTGGAATGCGGTGCTATTTCAAGTCGGAAGCATAGGCGACGCGGTAACCTCGTTACACAAAGAGACGAGCAGATAGGATGTTGAGGCGACGGGCCGAGGAGCGTCGCGCGGGGAGGCGAAGGTGGACGAGGGAAGCCGAGGAGGCGCGGTGGAACCGAGCGGACAGAGGGAAGAGAACAGCGGGGAAAGGTGGAAGAAGGCGAAAAAGACGACGACGACGAAGAAGAAGAAGAAGAAGAGAAAGAGAGGAGTCGGACTCACCGTGCGAAAGGTTGTTCCTCGACCTCATACAGCTCCTCGAGGGTCTGTTTCGAGAGAAGCCTCTCCAGTCTCTGGGGCGTGGGAGCGAGATGCCCTGGGATGCTGGTAGTCTCGAATTGGCTGTCCGCCGTCATGGCCGCTGCCGATTCGACGACGCGTCAATCGTAACAACAACTCCAAACGGTGGGCCGCGCGGATAATCCACAACAGACTATCGAAAATTTCACTCGGAACTGATGATCACAGCCAGCTATTATCCTCGTTGCAAAGTATCCGTGTGTGGTGCACGAGATAAGGGGGTGGGTGCGCCGATGCGGCTTTTTCAAATCGGAACGGGACAACAGGGGGGGAAACGACGATTTCTCCGGTACGGTTCACTGGGTGCTGCTTCACGGGGGTGTAAATCAATCGCGGCGACAACGCAACGGCGAACGGATCACTACGTCACTGGCGCGACAGTTCGCGGCACGCATCTCTCCGTTATCCGACCGATCTTCTCTCCTCGCGGACGTGTCTCGCGACTACGAAAATCCGGGTATCGGGGACGAGGGCACGGGTCTCTGCCACGAAGACTCGCACGCACCGATCGCTAGCCGCGATACAAGGCAGGCACGCGCTTCTATCGTGCAAGCCTTACCACGCGCGACCGCTCGTCGCGACGGTTCACCAACAATTGAAACCTTCCGCCGTGGCTTCGCGCGATCCCCACTCTACCGTGGTGCCCCGAGCCCCTTCGCTATCTCCGCGCCATGGTGGGGAAAGTACATCCCCTCTACCGCGGCGGCGACCGGTGACAGTCGACAGTGTACGGAACCGAACCGGACCGAACCGAACCGAAACGAGCCGAACAACCTTCGCCGCACCGCAACACTCCGCCGCTGCGGCGAGCCAACCGTGCACCGAACAACTGCGAAAGGCGAAAGAAAGATGCACCCCGACAGGCATGCACCGACCGCCACTTCCTCTTCTCTTCTCTTTGCACGGCTCTCGGGGACACTGCGACCGTGCTCGTCCCGATTCGCTCGCTCTCGCGCTCGGTCCTCTCTTCGCCTCGGTTCCCGCTTCACCGTTCCTACGAATTCTTCGAAAACGAAAAAAAATCCCGACGCTGCACGCGACGCAGACCGCGCTTCGATTACCCAAGACGAGAACCGTCTACTCGCGGAGTGCATACGTGTTGTATGCACGTTCGCGAGGTCTCGCGGCGTGATCGATTTTAGCCGAGAGGAACGCCGCCGTGCCGTTTGCGACAGACATTGTTGCGGAACAGGGTTGCTGCGCGGTGACTTGAACGCCGCGGCAGGACAGGAACGTTTCGTGCGAAACCGAGCGCGCGCGGTGGTCCCTCTCTCTCTCTGATTATTTTCGGTAGTTAAACAACCGTTTTGCAAGACGTAGCGGAGCGGCGGTTTCGCGTCGGACGCGTGAGAAAACCGTGCGCGCCGGTAGATCGACCGGCTTACGGTCGGACGAATAAACGGATCTCGCGGGGCCTTGGGCCCCGGCGAGCAAACGCGGAGAGCCAGAAGGCTTGTAAAGTGTGCCAGGATCTTGTCAACCACCGTGCATGATTACGGCGAGCGAGCATGAATAATTGAATGCATAATTTATCGATTTCGCGGCGAAAGAGCGGCTGCGGCGCGCCGTCCGGAGAAAGAGAGGGGCCGCCGCGCGATCGCGGCTACGCGCGCACCTCTGCATTATAGATCTCCTAATAAGTCCGGTGCAGCTTCCAATGCCGAGATAAATCAGCTAATCTCGATAAGGACAACCGTTGTTTCGACGCCGCGGCATCGGCGCAGTTATTCCCGGCGGCCGGGACGCGTCGCCTCGTGTCACGCGATCGCGGATGCACACCGTACGTAAGTACCATTTCGGACGGCCGCGGTTGTCCTTGTTCTTCGTTCTTCGTTCCTCCTCGTCCGCGCGATTCTCCGCCGAGGAAGAATCGGCCGGCGAGGCGCCGCGCCGATCGCGTTTCCCAACAGGATCTTGCGAGACTTCGGGACAAGTTTCTTAATCGAGTTATCACGCGCTTCCGATGAGCCCTGGACTGACGCAATTAATGCACGGCCGTTCAGATAATATTTCCGCGCGAACGAAATTGTTTTGTAAAATACGAGAAGCGGCCCGCGCGCGCAGCGGCCCGGTCATACCAGAATCAAGTGGGTTACAGATAGCGCGGACGCGACGGTTAATAGACTATTCGGTGGCCGGGAGCTGGTTTCCCGGCACTTATCTAAATCCTTCGACGCGTTTGACCACCCATTTCGAGAAGGATCGCGTCGTGTTCTAGCCAATTAAGAAGGGAAAAGGACAAGGTAAAAGCGCCGGATAATGCGCCGGCCGGTGCCGAGGTATACGGCGCGCGTGCTAAAGCATTTATAATTGGACTGGTGTGTGGACCGGTGATTGCTAGCCGTGATCCCGGTGGAACAGGGAAAAGACGCCGACGCGAGTCGAGTCGAGTCGAGTCAGCTCGACGAAAGAGGATTCCGTGGACCGCGAACTCGGTGTATACCCGGCGTTATCGCGCGATGAGACCAGAGGAGCCGCGTCGAAAAGCGCCTTCGACTGGGATTTCGAGGGAAGATCGCACACGAGAGAAACGGCTCCCGATGATGCGCCGCTGATTCATCTGTCGGCGAGTAATCCGCGCGGCGCGCAACCAGTTTTCTAGGATAGCAGTCGTAATCGATGATCCTGGGAAGCGATGCGGCACACGCTGTATCATCGGGCCGAACGATGAAACGTCGTTTCCTTCCCGTCGTCGATTTCACGGGCATTCGAGTCCATTAATACCGGCGAGCGGCGCAGCACCGCGCCGCGGTAACGAATGCTCGCAACGATGATTAGCTCTCCTCGGACTGGCCGCTTATCGAAACAAGGCGAACGCGCGTGTAGGCTCTACGTATGCGCGTATATTCTTTCGGAAAGAATCGGCCGGGGCAACCTCGGGTGCCTCCTTTCTCTCGTTTCTTTTCTAACCCGCGTCAGCGATCTATACACGCTCGCGATCCCTCAAGGATAATTTGACACGCGATCCCATTCGTTCGAGAGCGAAGGACAACGAACGCGGCTCGAAACCACTTACCTACCCGTTTCCGGCCGTTCCCTCGATTTTCTAGGACCGCGGCGGCGCGCGGACCCGTTCGGCCGGGGTCCGAGAGCACGTTCCGGTCCGGCTTTTTGCCCGCAGATGTCGATCGTCCGGAGGCACAGCTTCCTTCGGAAAGCGCGCAGCAGGAGGAGCAAGGAGGAGCAAGGCGGCGGCGGTGGGCCAGGCGGAGCGGTGGGCCAGGCGGAGCGGTGGGGGGCAGGGGGTCTGGTAACTTTCCCTCCTACGCACGTAACGCGACGAGGAGGGCCCCCGGGAGAAAAGAAGGATCGAGAGAGAGAGAGGAACAGGGAGACGAGAAGAAGGCACTGGCATGCGAGAGAGCCTTTCTAATCCGTCCGACCAGCTGATGTTTTCGTGCCAGTTAGTAGATGGAAACGTCGTGGTGCCTAACGCGAGGGGCAAGGACGGCCGAGGCCGCAACGCGAACATGCCCAGGAAGTCAACCCGGAGAAAGAAAGAGAGGAAGCCGATCGAGAGACCAATGCACACCGACACCGCTCTGCTTGTATTTTCATGTCCTACGCAACTTTACGCCGATGCGAGGCGAGACTGACAAGGGAAGGCACCGCCGCGTATGAAACTGCTTTCGGAGTGGCGATACGTACATTCAAGTCCGTTTCTCCACGGTAGCTTTGAACGCGGTGCTCTTTTACGCGATATTTTTTTATACACGGTATTTGTTTCTTTTACACGATTTTTTCACGGTATTTTTTTTACACGGAAACATTGTCGACGTTGTTCCATTACCGGAGTATAGTGATTTCTCCCTAATCGAAGCACAGATTGCGGCACAAAAATGGGTAATTTGGGAAGAGCTAGTTAATTATAGTCAATGATTATCAACAACTATGAAAACAGTCCGCAAGGCTCGAATAATCGTATCTTCCCCGTCGAAATTGTCCATTTTTATGTACAGTACATGATCTGAGCGTCGATTAGGGAGAATATACACACCGGGTACCCCTACGATAAGTTCCTGTGTTACGTTACTATTTTACATAACATTCGCATAATCATATAAGCACTCATTTTTATTTATTTTATATTTATTATCGCAATAGAATATTATTTTTATCGATTCTTTGGAGAATTTCTATTCTTTAGCTTCTCTCCCCCTTATTCTCTTCTTCCATAAGGGTGCTCGTGCACCACGGTTATTGAGCTAATGTATATCAAGACATAATCATCCAATTTTAGCACGTTTCCGAAAATAAGTCGGTTCATACAAGCTTTAACCCACGCAAAAACACGTTCCTCGGTGAAGATAAATGATACAACAATTCCATAAAAGGAATCGGTTAAATATCTCGAAATGATTCTAGGCAGGAGACTAATCGTTGTGAAAGAACACATTTAAATGAAATCTGCTCAGCTTAACGTGAAAAAGGTGAAAAAACTGTACTGACTGATAAGAGAATATTTTAAATTAAAATTAGAAAGCAAATTACTCATATGTAAGGTTATCATAAAACCTGTTTGGACATATGGAGTACAGTTATGGGGCACAGCCAGCAACTCGAATATAGAAATCTTGTAAAGATTTTGGTTAAGAACTCTTCGAAACGTATGCAGTGTTCATGTGGTACGTTTCTAATGACAATACAGAACGACCTGGTAATAATTACTGTCAAAGAAGAAATATCGAACTATAAACACACCATACTGTATATATAACTGTAAACACCATATACGACTGTTATCACAACAACAAAAAACCCATTAGCTATTTAATTAATTATTTTAATTATTAATAATTATATTTAATCAATTATTTTAATTATTAATTGCTATATTTAATCAATTATTTTAATGATTAATTGTTATATGTAATTAATTATTTTTATTATTAATATTGCACCGATACTAACAATTTTAGATCAAAGGCCTATAAACCCATAAACCTGACAAACAGATTCTCCAAATAAATATAATATTATTACAAACATAACAGGGGCAAGTCACGCACAAGTTATGATGCTATAATGTACAGTGATCTAATGTAACCATATAAGTTACTCCTCACGTCACAGTAAACCGTTAACGAAACTTATAATTCTATGAGGGAATTGATCGCAAATGCTCTAGGTCGATTAAAAAAAAGTTTTAGTACGTTTCTCATAACAAAATCGCAGACTCGAAACAGGTATAGGAAGTATGCCAAATAACGACAATCTGGCCGGGTATGGAAATACTTTACCGGGAACAAAAAATATTTCGAAGAGAATGAGCAAAATTCTATTATCTTAATTTGCTCACTATTCGAAATTGTTCCTACTCATTTTTATTATTTTTATACATTTTATAACGCATATTATAAGGCCAGTAAATAATAATAACTAGACTACGGATTTTATGCATTTATAATAAAAAAAGGATAGTTGAAATTTCAAACAATGAGAATATTGAAAGAATTTAAGGAGATCTATCTATTATTTTCAACTCAGTGAAATTATTAAAAGAAGAAATGTTTATTTGACTAAACCAGACGACGGATTTTAAACAGTTATAATAAAAAAAAGGGTAGGTAAAACTTCAGACAATGAAAATATTGAAAGAATTTAAGGACATATATGTATTATTTTCAACTCACTGCAATTATTAAAAGGAGAAATGTTATTAAAGAATGGAAGAAATGTTTATTTTACTTATTTTCGTTGCAATTTATGAAGATAAGTTTTCTTTTGCACGAAGATCCGCGATCTAATAATAATGATAAGAAAATAATACCTGTCATTGTCCTCTGCATAAAAAGAATCTT